TGTATCCTCTGAATAATAACAAATCAAACCCGGTGCGGCCAATTGGATTCTGAGTCATAGCAACCAAAGGTATTACAATTTCTACTACTTTCCATTGGATGTTCTCAGCTGTAATCCTATGGGAAAGAGCCCTGATGGAGCAATGGGTTAAGCACTCCCCTGCTAACCCAAAACTTGGCGGTTCTGATTCATCCAGTGGATTATCAGGAGAGAAGCGCAGCATAGGGAGAGAGAGACAGAGATTGCAAGTTGTGAGTTCATCCCTTGTGAGTGGGAATCACTGGAGTTGGAATCTACCGGATGTCACAGAACAGTATTAACAGAGCAGATTGCCAGGCCTTTATTCCATGTTGCCTTTGGAGGATCTGCACGGCCAACTGCAGGACAGTGTCTAGTAACCCGCCTCCACCATGCAGTGACTTGTCGTTTGAACAGGAAAATGGAATGAATACCAGTGCAGGATTAAGACAAATGGTGATGCTGGTATGGACTCTGATTCAGTAACACCTGTTTTTTTCCTCTTGAGGCCCCTCCGGTTAAACTTTATGGCTTTATGGTTTTAAATAGCAGCACTCATCCTAACGCAAGGACGAGAAGGGACCAAACTGGCATGCGCAGAGACATCTGGAAGAATACACGTGTGTGAACACATTGCGCCTGAAACAAGATTCACTCACCATGAAGGCGGTACACGTCGTCCGTCGGGGTGCTCGACGCCCCGGCCGGCATTCTTTAACACGCCCACTCGGGCTCCGACGGGTCGCCGCCACCTGCCACCAGGGACTAGCAGCCAGCAGCCAAGGCTGGGTCTCCGAGGCCGGCGCCACCGAGCGCGGACCTCCGAGCGGCCTAGAGCGGCCGCGCGGCCTCCCAGGGGGCGGCGCACTTCCGGCCGCTCCCGCCGCCGCGCCGCGCTCGCCGGGCACCTTCCCCTCGCTCGCCCGGCCGTGGGCCCGCCAAGTGGGTGAGTGGGGCCGGGCGGGGCGGAGGGCGCGCTCACGCCCCTGGGCCCCATCTCCCGACTGCCCCGCGCCCTTCTTCCCCGGCCGCGCGGGGGAGCCAAGCCGGTGGCCTGGCCGTCTTGCCCCCGCACCGCCGTCTCTCCGGGCCTCGCGTCTTTGGCTCCGTGCTCACCCCCGGCACCCCCTGGAAGCACTTGAGAAGGCTTGCCCCGGCCGGGGTGGCCCCTGGATGACCAGGTGGTCGTGATGGTAGCCAGCGTGTCCAGGAACGGTGCTGTCAGCCCGTGCTCGGGGGCGCAGAACGTGCGCTGCTTCGAAGGCAAATCGGGGTCGAGGGAAAGAGCCGAGCCGCCCGCCGCCCCTCGGTCGCGCGAAGGCAGGGGAGGGCCCGAAGGCCAGCCCCGTGCGATGGAGCCTGCACTCCACCCCCCTCAGACCCTCTGTCCCCCTCGGAGAGCTCCCCAGGTGTGTCCGGATGATGACTAGGGAAATAACGTTCCGGGAGCCCGTGACCATCTCTTCCCGAAAACTTTCAAACCTACGAGTGGAGAAGCAGCTCTCGAACTCCCGACTCGCGAGCGATCCCGTGCCACCGCTCCACGGGATTGTTTCGAAGCAAGTCTAAAATGTGACATTTCACTAATCGAACAATGACCGTTTTGTTGTTGTTGTTGTTTTTAATTATTTTATTGGAGGCCCGTAACATTGACGTTTTTAATTGCAGATTATCATCTAGCCAGTATTTAAAAGGCTTTAGCTTATGCATTGGGCTGCTAACTGCGAGGGCAGCAGTTGGAAACCACCGGCTGCTCCAAGGGAGGAAGATGACGCTTTCAACTCCCATCAAGACCTAACCGTCTGGGAAACACACAGGGGCAGTTCTGCTTCGCCTTAAAGCAGTGGCTCTCAACCTCCCTGATGCCACGACCCTTTCCTACAGTTCCTCACATGGTGGTGACCCCCTCCAACCATAAAATTATTTTCGTTGATACTTCGCATAACTGTCAGTTTGCTACTGTTAAGAACCGGACGACCCCTGTGATAGGGTGGTTCGACCCCCAAGGGCTGAGAACTGCAGCCTTAGAGGGCCACTATCAATTGGGATGCCAGTGGGTTTGTAGGGAAGCCAGTGTTTAAGGGCGCCTGGCATAATGCACTGCAGCTGCAAGGCCAGCAGTCCGAAGCCATCAGCCCGCTCTGCAGAAGAAAGGTGTGGCAGGCTGTGCACTCTCATACAGACTAGTCTCGGAAACCTAGGTCTCTGTCCTATGAATCTGAACCAACTCGATGGCTGGGTTTGGGCATCTAGCCAGTGTTTAGCCACGAGATTGGTGGGTCAGCCCCCGCTGGCTGCTTCAAGGGAGAAGATGGGGTGGTCTCCACTCAGTATTTAGGCTTGGAAACCCTAAAGCACAGTTCCACGCTGTGCTGTCCGGTCCCCATGAGTTGGAATCAAGTGGATGGCAGTTGTGACTTGATTTCCGTTTATCCAGTGTTTAAACTTTCCCAGTTGTCTCTTGCCCACGACCAGTTTGTCAACATCAGGTTCCAAACAGGCTACACATGTGGCATGTGATGCATGTCTCTAAGCTTCCTTTAACCTTTCAGTTTCTCCTCTCTCGAGATCATTTTTTCCTGGCAACAATCCCACATAGTGGTGTTTGCGTTATCTGACACATTTCACTGGTGCTGAAGTATCCTTTAGCAAACTGGGACGTGTTTAGATCCACAGGGCTTTCTGTTTGTTTTCTTCAGATTCCGGTTTTACTTGTTGGCAAGAAAACCTCATCGGGGCTACAGAGAACTACAGATTGCATCCAGCGGAAGTTAGATAACATCTTAAATTTCTCTTTGTGGTGTTAAGATCAATCTGTGGACCCTTTCTATACAGTTGGCAGAGCAACTAATTGTCCAGGGGATCCTAGAAGGATGACAGCTGATAACTGCAGGCGGCATAAGAGACTTCTTATAAATGCCGCCTCCGGCAACTCCCAAGAAATAACGATCTTGGCAGTGACCATTTGTGGCAGCCAGCATTGAGAGACATCCAAACTCAGTGGGCTTCCTGATGGAAGTACCACATAACCTCTGCCACGAGGAAAGGGGTGAGGTGGGGATATCGAGGGAACACGGTTGGCCTTGGGCTGATTGTTGTGCAAGCTCGCTGGTGGCTGCATGGCAGTGCATGATACTAATCTGTCTCCTTGTGTATATGTTTTGTCTTTTTTCTAGTAAAGCAGTGTTGTTAGTGGATTGATTCATAGCCAGGATGGATTTGGTATTTATCCATGTGAACCAGAGAGCAGGGCCCAGTTAGAACAAAGGCTTTCTGAAGAAGGATCCATAGGTTATGGCACCTGCTTTCTGGAATTCCAAAGGGGTCATGGGGTCCTGGTGGTGGTGGTGACCCGAGGACCCTTAGTACAATCTGGCTAGACAATTTTAAGAAATTGAAAACTGCTTTGGTTAAAAAGAAATCCAGGAAGCTGTACCCAGAAATTGTTTTACAGCACGATAAGACCCCTAGGTTTTGGAGGGCAGTGAGGGCTGTCCTATGAGCATGTCCCTGGGACACTGGCCCCACCCACTCTGCTGCCCTGCTCTGCACCTTGTAACTTCTTTTTGTTGCCCAGACCCAGTAACGTCGGAGAGGAACACAGTTTGAGTCCCTGGAGGATGCCAGAACTGCCGTTTGCTGTGGTGTAAATCGACGAGCGCAGAACACTTGGGGAAGGGTGGTGGCTGCCGTTAGGTGCGATTGAGTGGTGCTGACCCACAGCCACCCCGTATGCACTGCCTGGCTCTGCGCCATCCTCACAGTGGCTCCTGCTGGGGAAAGGCTAGAGTGATGGAAAAACCACTTTTAAAAGAGGGCATGTTGAGAGTAATCACTTCACGTTTTGATATTCCGGTTTGTAGAACTCATTTTCTCAACAGATTCTTAGTAAATATGTATTGCTGACTGATACTTGTAAGCAATGAGGCTGGGTATTCATACCTTGCATTCATTTTTGGAATTGGAAAGAATGTTGAATGTTATTTTCTGAAAGCGAATTTGCTAAACAAGAATAGATATTCAAAAATATATGTAATATACATATAATTTAGAATATTTTGATATATATATATATATATTTTTTAATGGATTTCCCACTAGTAAGTTCGGGTCCGCCTGATCCATCCATTAGTGTGTTTTTTTTTACCAAGTGGGTCTCAAATTGGACTGTCTAGTAGACTCAGGGGCAGGATGGTAATGTTGTTGTCTTAGTAGTAGAACCCATGTTTCACTCGCACAACCTCCTATCTTGTTCTAGGACGGAACCCAGTCATTGGTCGGTTGTAAAAGCACTCTCGGTGATTCTAACTTACCCCAGGGTTGTGTTCTCTGTTGAGAGCTGCACAGCAGTGCCGTCCCGTCAGACCTGCTGCATTTACTAACTGCTGCCTTGTGTATTTATTTGAAGCTTTCTACTCGGTTTATTCTCCCCGCTCCAAACTGCCGGCCCGTAGGGCAGTCTCTGAAAAGGACACAGCTTCCCCATCACAGGCAGCTAGGAGCTCGGAGCTGAGAACATGAAGTAGCACCTGGAAGGACCCTAGAGAGCCGCAAGGTCTGGCGGTGGCGGTGGCGGTGGGGGCCAGACAGGAGTTGCACCCTTTGTGTGCGATGGAGAGGGAGTGGGGAAGAGGGGAGCAGGTGCAGGTGCAGGTTATGAAGGATGAGGAGCAGGAGTCAGGGAGCTGACTGTGCCCCAGAATGGAAAAGAAAGATTAAATTATGCGTGGTTAGGAAAGCCTGTTCAGTCTTATGACACATATTTTAAAACATTTACCTGTGTTACGTATGTTACTGTGTTTTATAAATGTTAATGTAGTTCATTGCAACTAGAAATGATCCAGAATTCTGAGAACCAAACCAAACACACTGCCATAGAGTCGATGCTGACTCATAGTGACCCTATAGGACAGGCTAGAACTGCCCCTGCGAGTTTCAGAGACTGTAATTGTTTACAGGAGTAGAAAACCTTGTCTTTCTCGCTCAGAGTGGCTGGTGGTTTCGAATTGTAGACCTTGCAGTTAGCAGCCTAACTTGTAACCACTAAGCCACCAGAGCACCTCTGAGTGACTATTCCCCCTCATTCCAATCCTCCCTTTTAATCATTTCTGAGATGGTCAGTACATTGTGGAGCCTTCCGTTCCACACGTGCTCCATGGAGGGGTTTGGGAGATGGTTGTTCAAAATGAGAGCATGCTGTTGGCGTATAGTTTCATTCACTCTAGTCCCTCCCACACAATAGTTTCATATCTAACTATTAGCCGCCGAATAAATTCTACTTGGCATGTACAATGAAATCTTCAATCATTTCCCTCTTGGCATATATTCAGATTGCTCCTAATTATCAGCCACCTTAAATTCTACCGCTTTAACGTCATTCGCTGTAGATCCTTTATATCTGTAAGGTAAAAAAACAAAAAAACAAACTCAACTGCCATCAGGTTGACTCTGACTCATAGTGACCCTATAGGACAGGGCAGAACTGGCCTCTGGGTTTCTGAGATGGAAACTCTTTATGGGAGTAGAAAACCTCATCTGCAGCCCAGCTCAAACCAAATGGGCATGCTGGTATAAAGGATGTTGCTCTCAGCAGCAGCAGCAGCAGCAGCATTACTGGTTGTGTGTGTGTGTGTGTGTACGTACATATCTCCAAATTGCTCTTCCAGAACATATTTGTGTAGTCCACTCTCCATGAGCGCTGTATGAGAATTGTGTGATTAGTTCTTAAAATTATTTGTATGTTTTCCTCCCCACTGTCAGGTGGCTGATCTAGAATTGGCTCTCTGTAAGTTTCAGTGTGTTCATGTTTATTCTCTGTGGAGGCTCATCTTCCATCACGGAAGAGCATCAGAGATGGGAGAGCTGCCCCGAAAGAGTGAAAGAAGACAGAGTGATGCCAGCAGTTGGGCAGGAAGCTGCACATTCACAGGTGTTTCCGGATCACTAATAACAGCAGAGCCCTAACCCAGGCGCACTGGTGGCATGGTGGTTAAGCACTCGGCTGCTGACTGAAAGGTCAGTAGTGCGGGTTCACTAGCAACACTCCATGGGAGGCAGATGTGGCTATCTGCTTCCATAAAGATTTACAGCATAGGGCAATTTTTCTCTGTCCTAGTGAGTCTCTGAGTTGGAGTTAACTCAACAGCACAGGGTTTTGGTGTTTGAATTGAACCACTGAGCCCTGACACATGGGTTTGTGAGACATTCACTCCGCTTGACTGGGAAGTACCAGCATTCCTGGAGAGCGTTGTAGCGAGTACCTGCCATTTATGGTAATGCATGATGCTCTGCAGCCATTGCATGGTGAATTAAAGCCCATCTTACCAGTTGGGCTAGGATCCATAAGGTCAGCAGGTCAAAACCAGCAGCCACTCTGAGGGAGAAAGGGCTTTCTACTCCCACAAAGGGTTACAGTCTGGGAAACTCACAGGGACAGTTCTACCCTGTCCTGTATGTAGGGTTGCTATGAGGCGGCATCAGCTCGATGGCAGTGAATTTGGAGTTTGGCTGCTTTGTAGGGGTGGGGTGGGGTGGGGGTGGTTGGCACTCACCCAACATTTGGTGGCGTGCAGTTTTAGCCAGATGAAACCAAACCCAACCCACTGCCATCAGTCATTTCTGACTCATAGCAACCCTCCCATTTGGAGCTGTTAAAACCTAACTGAGAGAACAGGAATCCAGACTGTTCTGAACACCAGACAGGAAACAGCAGTGTTCCCACTGGAACCAATTTTTGATGATGATGACCCATTCTTGGTGGTGATCCCTTGGTGGTCTTTCCATTGCAGGGTGGAAGATGTCTATGGACGTGACGTTTCTAGGGACGGGTGCAGCTTACCCGTCCCCAACCCGGGGTGCCTCTGCTCTGGTCCTGCGCTGTGAGGGCGAGTGCTGGCTCTTTGACTGTGGGGAGGGCACTCAGACGCAGCTTATGAAAAGTCAGCTTAAAGCAGGTAAGTGCATTCCACGCCCCCATCACACTGGTTTCTGGTTCTGCTTCATTTCCTTGGCCCCCTCGTCAATATCTGAAATCCTGTTACCTGTACTCACTGTCTGTCCCTGGCCTGTAAAGTAAGCCCAGTGGTCCGTCGTTATGCATCTAGGTGCTTAACACATACTGTTCAGTTAATGAGTGATGAGCTGCTGAGCACTTAGTTCAGTGCCTCTCATTCAGTAGGCCTTGATAAGTGGTGGTCGTGAAAGGCATTATTCCTAGGACTCATCCCAGTGAGTGGCATTTTGTGACTTAGGAAAGCTACTCTCAGGGGCAACGCTCTTTTGCCCTGTGACAGAAAGTGGCATGCAGACAGACAGCACAGGATCCGATGAGAAGCAGGATGTGGGAGGTGCTTTTGACAGCTGCTTGAACCTGCTGCAGGAGGACACTAAGTGCCTGCGCGTTTAGAGAAAGCGCTCGCAGGTTGAACTAGGATCTAAAGGGTGAGTAGCAGCAGAGACTGTTAAAGTGAACATCAAGTCAGGGAGTTTCCAGGAAGGAAAGGGCTTCCGCTGTACAGGCCAGCGAGTCCTTGGCCAGGAGATAGTGGAGAATCCCGGGAAAAGAATTGAGGGCAGAGGGAAGGAAGTCTTCCGGGGCGTGCTGTTTGGGTTTTACCATCCTGGTGCCTCTCAGGAGCCATTGGGTGTTTGTAATCAATCAGAAAGATAGTGTGACTTGACTTGTGGTTTAGGACTGAGTTTTTTGGCAGCAAACAGATTGAGAGAATAGCGCCAGGACAACCATTTCCACAGTAGGTGCTTTGATCTAAGACAGTGGTTCTCAACCTGTGGGTCGCGACCCCTTTGACAGGGGTCGCCCAATTCATCACAGTAGCAAAATGACAGTGATGAAGTAGCAACGGAAATAATTTTATGGTTGGGGGGGTCACCACAACATGAGGAACTGTATTAAAGGGTCGAAGCATTAGGAAGGTTTCGACCACTGATTTAAGAGGATGTGGCTATTGAAGCAGGAAGGGGAGGGCTAAGGATGGAGAGGAGGAATTTAGAAGGCACTCGTAGAGCCAACAGGAGGGGGTGATTGATTCGAAGTGTGAGGGCGGGAAGAACTCCGGTAACACAAGGGAGCAGTGATGGTGTCACACCTAGAGTGAGGTTGGGAGGCAGGAGAAGAGCAGTTGGAGAAAGCTAGTGCTTAGAGGACACAAGACCTTGGGAGTTCAGCCCTCATTGTGCACTGGTCTGTGCTGAACCCCTGTGGTGCTGCATGTCCCTTGGATCACACAGATGTGATCACACATGGGTCCTTTCAGGGAAGGCACAGCCAGAGGGGAGGCTTATTAACGATAGAGCAGGCGTGGGGAACCTTGTTTCTGCCAAGGGCCATTTGGACATTGATAACATCATTAAAGGACCATACTAGTCAAACATTTCATCAACTCAGCCCTCATGTGATGGCTGGCACTGCTGCTTTTTGGAGAGACAGGTGGTGGTAGCTGGTGTTGGTAATTTCTTAGGCCTCATACTGCCTGTGGGTGGAGTGTTCCCTACCCTGGTGCTAGAGCATAGGGGCTGAAGTCAAGATGGGTTTGGATTAAGATAGAAACAAGAAACTGCTCAATGTGGGTAGTAGAGCTTTGGGGGTGGGAGTGAATCTTTTTATCTCGTACCTGTATTTTAGTTACTTAATGCCGCAAAATAAATTAGCACCAAGCCAGAGGCTTAAAACAGTGTGCATTTATTGCCTCATTGTTCTTGTGCGGCAAGGAGTTTGGGTCCCCTGCCTTGGGCTCTCACCAGGCTGCCATGTGGCTTTGGCCACCTGGAAGCTGTTCCCCACCACACCTCCTGTGGGATGTTGTATCTTGTAATGATGGTATGTCGCTGTTTTAAATAAGCATACCGAGCAAAACCTGGCAGAAACCAGAACAGACAAACCGTAGGGAACTTTCATTTACTCCATTTTTACTGGCTTAGAAAAAGGAGTTTCTGAGTGTTACCCGCTGCTCCTGCATCTCACCCCACCATGCTTTCTCTCTGGATCCTCGGTGGTCCCTTCCAGTTTGTACTGCCTCCTGGGGGAATAGGTTGTACGAGCTTACTAAGGACTACCTTCTAGTTCTCTACACCTGCTTCTTCTAAGCGCCCATGCTTCTGATATATAAGCATCTGACTAGCACGGGTGTGTATCTATATATTTTTTCAAATTACAGAGTGAGCCTAAGCTTTCTTTGCTTCCTTCAAGGCGGGTTATAAAATGCTAAAAGGGATTACAAAAGCATAATTTTTTAAATAATTATAAAAATTATATATTCTCACTGTAAAAGTTCAAAACAAAACAGAAATATAAATAAGAAAAATCCCAGACCCTTCTCCCAGAGATAAATTTTTCTGTCCATGTACACATAGTAATGGAATGGTGTTTGTTTGTTTTGTGTATGTGTGTGTGTAGTAAGGAAATTGACGACGGGGTCGGGCGGTGCATCTGACTTCCTCTGGATTTGGTACAGGAAAGAAGGCTACATCTCTACCCCAATCCACAGCCAAGTGCTACCAGGCAGAGGTCAGACATGCCTTCATCCCCCGTCCTTCCTTACCCTATTCTGACACCACCCCTCCCTCGCTCCCACGACACTCTCCTTCTCTGCCATGGCCACACCGAGCTTACCGATAATACTCATGATTCTGGGAGTTTATTAGGGAAGCTAACGGATTACAAAACGGTCATGATACAGTCCTGTCTGCAACACTTCTCAGCCATGCTGGTCCTTGGCTTCTCCACTGCGTATGTCCCTAGGCTTCAGCCTTCAGGAAGCCCCCCTACTGCTCTGCCTCTTGGTTTCGAAGCTGCTCTCTGCGCTGCCTCATGGCCTCCGTGCCCGGGGATCTGGCATGCTCTGCTGGGAGCTCTTCTTTCTTGATGGAGTGGGACTCTCTCTCTCTCTGCTGCTGCTGCTGCTGCTGCTTCTTTTTCAGAGCATTTTGTTGGGGGCTTCTCTGCTACTTAGAGGGCTGCCTTATACCCAGAGGAATGGTAGCGCTGACTGAGCCCCTCAGTCCGTCTTTCACACACCCTGTTTGCACGGCCCCCTGTCATGTGGCAGGAGTTACATAGACAGCGATAGAAGAGCCAGGGTGAAGCTATTTCCCTTCACCCCCAGGGTGTTGCATGAACGGTCATCCCTTCGTCTTTGTCTTCCCTGAGCAGGAGGGGCACCGTATGTGAAATAGCAGGCATTGTGCCTGTTGGTCAGTTTTGCGCTGTCATTTTTGGTGGCAGAATTCTAGCCTCCTGTGGACGGCATAGCCCCTCCCCGCTGACAGTCTTGCGTCCAGGTAAGAGCTCTCCCTGTGTTCTTCTCTCTTCCTTTGATCATTTCCTCTTCCCTCCAGCACTGGTTGCCATACCCTCTTGCTGTGAAATTGGGGTTTGGGGAAATTGCAATGTTTGTCCTCTCTGAAACGGAGATGGCTGTGGACAGGGACACTTACTTAACGTGTCTCACTTGGATCCAGTTCACAGGCTCTGTTGGTATTGAATTCTGGCTCTGTTTTGGAGAGAGAGAGAGAGAGGGTCCAGCGTGTTTGACGGTGGCCATGCAGGTGGCTTGCCAGGGGGACTCTGCACAAACGAGCTAAGGAGAAAAAAGATGGAGCAGCCTGAGGAGCTTGCCTGGTGCCTCCTGGGGATGCTCCAGGTCCCGGTCTGGCCTCTGTCCATTGACAGTCTTCCCCTGGGCCAGGCTGTGTGGGGACGTTAGGCAGACTCCCTGGGAGAGCGCGTTTGCCTCGATATCATTATAAATCATGTTACAAATAACCGTTCCTGTTCTTTGATGGCAGGTGTTTGCAACAGGCCATGCGCTAGCAGTGGAAGTCTCTGTCCTACCAGGGGGCTTCACAGAGTTGGTGGGGAAATTCTGTTATCTTGTCATTTTTGAAACCCACTCAGGTTGAAAGTGTGTTCGTTGTGGTTGTTACTTTTAAAGTGCCTGGTGGTACATCTCAGCAAAGGGTTGCAGTGGCGTCTTGCCACAGACCAGCTTTAAATTCAGTCCACCCCTGGCTAACTCACTCACCACCCGAGCCAGGGTACAGACTGACAGTGCTGTTGTTAGTGCACACTGAACAGGTGAAGCGATGGGCCCAGGGGCCCTTCATAATACCAGAGCAGAGCCACTCTCGGAGCTGCACCCACTGTCTAGGGCCCGCCTCCCCTCGCCACTCCCAGTTCCCCACCTCGCTAGCTCTCCCGTGGCTTTCTTGTCCTCCCAAGAAGCAGAATCTGACTTGGCTGGTTAATCACCTCTTCCCAGATGGAGTCCTTAAAAGGCAACTTTGAGTTTGGGCACTGGTCCAGTCATTCGGAGCCCGTGCAACGTGTGTTTTGTCTGGAGAACATGCTTGCTAGTCTCAGAGGGAGCAGTAGGGGGCGGTGTCCCTGCCGGAGGCCTGTTTAGTACTAGTACTTCTATGAACTATTTTGGCACACTTATGTATTTGGATGGGAAGATGTGTAGGACAATACTGAGAACCCTGTGAAGCTGCGTCAGCTGAAGATGTTTTATGAAAAGCAAGTAATATTGAAATCTTCCAGTGAAATAAAGTCCCGTCCCCACCCCACCCCGCTCCAAAGCTCTTGGAGTGAAATGTGAACATGGCGGTGGGTGGAGTTGGAGATTCAGTTGGCTGTTTGCCTGTAAGTTGTGGTCCTTGTTTCAAGTAGCTTTGCTGCGTGAGTTTTCATTCCTGACACATCCCCTGCTATTTCTCTTGATCAAAAGGGAGAATTACTAAGATCTTCATCACGCATCTGCACGGAGACCATTTCTTTGGCCTGCCGGGCCTCCTCTGCACCATCAGCCTACAGAGCAGCTCCACCGGTGCCAAACAGCCCGTCCACATCTACGGTCCCGTGGGCCTCCGGGACTTTCTCCAGCGCACCATGGAGCTCTCCCACACGGAGCTGGTCTTCCCGTATGTGGTCCACGAGCTGGTGCCCACAGCCGACCAGTGTCCTGCAGACGAGCAAGCAGGCATCACACACGAGGAAAGGACAGGCTGCCGTCCCGGCGCAGACCAAGGGAGGACGATCCACTTAGACACAGAAGAAGACGCTTACCTTCTGGTGGATGAGGAGCAGTTTGTTGTGAAAGCGTTCCGCCTCTTTCACCGGATCCCCTCCTTTGGGTTTTCCGTCATAGAGAAGCGCCCAGGCAAGCTCAATGCCCAGAAGCTGAAGGACCTCGGTGAGTGTGTGAGTGTGTGTGAGTGTGTGTGTGTGGGGGGGGGGGGCTTCTCATCGTCCAGCTCCTCGACTGCAGTGCCGCTCATGACGCTGTTCCTTCCTTATCCCCCAGGCCCCAGACGGATGAATGTTTTCCTTCCGTTTCCTTTGCCCCAAGGCTGCTTATTTGCTAAGGGAAAACGTGGGTGCCAGAAAGATACCCCAAGCTCAAACCAAACTCACTGCCATCGAGTCGATGCTGACTCCTAGTGACCCTGTAGGTCAGGGTAGAACTGCCCCTGTGGGTTTCTGATTCTGTAACTCTTTATGGGAGTAGAAAGTCCCATCTTTCTCCAACGGCGCCGGCTGGTGGTTGTGGTTAGCAGCCCAACGTGTAGCACCTTTGCCACCAGGATACTGTTCAGGCCAAAACTCTTTCTCACATCAAGTTCCTATTTCGTCTTCTTTTCAACTGTCTTGGTTGGCAAGAGTGGGTTGGGTGGTGATGGTGGTGCTTTGAGATCTAAGCTGTTATTTCCTTGTGTCTTGTATCTGAAAGGTGTCTTTGATGACATCTTTGACCTGTTGGATTTTTCTGCCATAAACCAAAAAGCCCGCTGCTTGGTCGTTTCGGACTTACACCAAATTCACTCACTGCCATTGAGTCAAGGCTGACTCAGCACTCCCCTGTGGGTTTCCAAGTCTGTAACTGTTTATGGGAGTAGAAAGCGTAGTCTTTCTCCCTTGGAGCTGCTGATGATTTTGAACTGCGACCATGTGGATCGCAGCCCAACATGTAACTAGTACACCACCAGGGCCCTTTCAGATTTATAGCGACCCTGTATAGGGTTTTTGAGGTGGTAAATCTTTATGGGAGCAGACAGCCTCATCTTTCACCCACAGAATGACTGCTGAGTTAGAACCACCCACCTTGAGGTTAGCAGTCCAATACTTACCCAACAGTATCACCAGGGCTCCCTTTCTGCCATAAAACTCCCCAAATCAAACTCTTTGCCACTGAGTCCATTTTGACTCAGGAACGACAGCATAGGCTAGGGCTGCCCCTGTGAGTCTCCAGAGGTACAGCTCCTCAGGAGACTAGACATTTCATCTTTCTTCCCGGAAGGGGCTGGGGGGCTTGAGCTGCCGACCTTGTGTTTCACAGCCCAGCTCATCACCCAGGATGACACCACAGCTGCCCCAGTTCCTAATAGCCGTGCAACCTTCTTGTCCACTTTCCTGACTCTTTTCCTTCTAAATTAATCTGATGAGCAGAACGCAGCACCTGGACCAGGTTTACATACCAATGTTCATCACAGTTGGGAACAAAGCACACTGAGACGGGCTCAGGGCCCTTGTAAAGCTTCACACCTCCTCCCTACTAGGTCAGCCTGCACTCGAGGGGTCCCCTGCACCTCGTGGGAAGCAGTGCCTGACCCCTCATACTGCCAGCATCACTACCGCCCTTGGCACGGACACGGCAGAGACTGTAAAAAGCATGGCGCTGTTTCTTGTTGGTGCTGCTTTATTTATTCAATCTTCCTTCCTTCCCAACGAAAACAAGATGCAGCATACTGAAGAAACGTGACCGTCTTGTTCTCCAGGAACCTGGAGACACACTGTTTTGTTTGGACCCTTGAAGCACGATCTGTGTTGGGATTGGTGATCCCATTACGTTGCATATAGGCTTGGCTCCGTATGATGACTAGGTGTTATTATACACCATAGGTCCCTGATGTATTTGTCCTACCGCCCCCTTTTCAGAAAGAAAAGTTACTCAGAGCCCCCCCCAGAATGAAAAACTTTTGTCCTGTAGCCCATCATCCAGGATAAGTGTTGGTATTTGTTCTGCAGCCCCCTCGGCTCATCCTAGAGCCCTGGAGGCGTAGTGGTTATTCATTGAGATACTAGCTGCAAGGTCAGCAGATTGAAACCAGCTGCTCCGAGAGAGAGAGAGAGAGATAGATAGATAGATAGATGAGGCTTTCTGCTCTCATAAAGAGTTACCTTGGGAACCCGGGGGGCAGTCCTGCTTTGTTCTTTGAGTTGCTATGAGTCAGGATGGTCTCAATGGCACTGAGTTTGGTTTGTTTTTGTTTGTTTGTTTGTTTGTTTGTTTGTTTTGGGGGTTTCATGATAGCATCCCCTTGTGGGTGCTTTCACCCACTTTGGGAAACACTGTTCTAGATCATTAAGAGATGTAAGCCCAGTCTGGCAAATGTGAGCCCTGCCCAAACATACCACGAAAACGAGACCCTGGAAATTAGCCTACTTGTGTGATCCAAACAATCCCTCTTAACGATGTTCTTGTTAAGGGGGTCTGTGTGGGGGTACTTCTCTTGACTAGGCATTGATTGTGGTGTTATATAAGTGGACTCTAATTTGACCCAAAGATGAACTGAATCAGGCACCCTCAAAAAACGGTTATTTCCGTGCAAAGCTGTTGTCTTGACTGCCGTGAAGCCTCAGTGGGCCTGGAGCTTAAACTCCCTGACACCTAGGCCTGGGAGAGGGCTCCCCTGCTATCAGTGGGCGACGGTGACTTTTAGTGAAAGCATGACGCTTATGAAAAGAAGGGGTGGCCCTTTGCCAGCCATGCTGTTTGAAGAGGGTTCTTTGAACAGCCCTCCATTCCAGTCCCCCGCCGTAATGCTGTCTGCCTTCCTCCACAGGTGTTCCACCCGGTCCCGCATATGGGAAGCTGAAAAATGGCATCTCAGTTGTGCTGGAAAATGGGGTTACAATTTCTCCCCAAGATGTTTTAAAGAAGCCCGTCGTTGGAAGAAAAATCTGCATCCTGGGGGACTGCGCCGGGGTCGTGGGGGATGGAGGCGTGGAGCTGTGCCTAGAAGCAGACCTACTGATCCACGAAGCGACCCTGGATGACACCCAGATGGACAAAGCCAAGGAGCGCGGCCACAGCACTCCACAGATGGCCGCAGCCTTTGCAAATCGGTGCCAAGCCAAGAGGCTGGTTCTCACTCACTTCAGTCAGAGGTACAAGCCAGTCACTTTGGCCAAAGAAGGAGAAAGTGATGGCACTGCCGAACTGAAGAAACAAGCGGAATCCATGTTCGAGCACCAGGAAGTGACGCTGGCAGAGGACTTTATGGTGATCAGCCTTCCCATCAAGAAATGAGACCAGCCGTCTCGAATGCCCATTGACAGGCCGATGGCTGTGCTCCCAAACCTCCCGGCTGTGGGTTTTTTGTTTGTTTGTTTGTTTGGTCTAAATTATTTGGGGCCTTAAGATTTTGAGTTGGGCTGCAATAGGCATAATTGGTGGTTCTAAACCACCAGCAGCTCCGAGGGAGAAAGAAGGGGCTTTCTACTCCCATCAACAATTACAGTCCCGGAAACCCCCGAGGGGGTGGTTGGGAGTCATCATCGACCCCGTGGCAGTCAGTGGGGTTTTCTGGCTTTCAGTGGCCCTGAAAAATGAAAAGGCACTGTGTGGCGGAACTGACTCAGCAGTAAAAGGGCACGCGGATTTTGATAATAAAGAGTGTTTTAGAAGGAAAAGAACAGTGTCCCTTTTTTTCTGCAAAGTTCACATTTGACCAATGGTGGACTCTGCAGATGCACTGCGTGTCTTATGACTCCTGTGTCCGTGGTCGGTCAGTAACCCCTCTGGCAGTCCAGGGTGGCTCTGCAGTCCAGTGTTACCGCAGTCGTTGACACAAGACTTGGGGCATTTTGGCACTTAGCGTTGAATCTGCACGTGCTACTCATAGAATGGAGAGAAATGGGACTGGCTGTTAGATGTGCAGGACTGGAGCTGTCCTGTTACCTGTGAAGTCTCTACTGGGCTCGTCAGGCATCACATATTTTATTGATTTGCTATAGACCTGTGGTTCTCAGTGGAGGTGCTAGCACGCCTCTGGTAGAGTTTTGAAATTGTGGGGATGTTCTTCTTGTCACAGTCACTCGGGGTGGGGGCAGGGGAGGGGATACTATTGGTATTTGGTGGACAGGGCCCAGGGTTCCGAGATGTCTTACAAAATCTGGGCCGCTCCTATACAACGAAGAACAATTTTGCCCCAAAATGTAGAGTACAAATAGGTAGAGAGATGCACGGGAAGTTAAAACTGACCCTCCCAGTGTGAGGATGCCTGACAGTCGAACCCTGCAGAACTAGCTAAGTGAATATGCTGCACCTAAACAGTCATGTCAGCTATTTAAAAAATTTTTTTAAAAGAAAGAAACCATTAGCTGGAGCTCATAAATTGTGAGGTCAAAGCTATCTCTTAAACCGAACTTCGATTGGTAAGTCCCAATTAAAATTTGGAGTGCACTTTTAATAAATGCTTTTCTAGAAGAGCTTTTCTTTCTGAGCTGGCAGCCTGTCCACCCAGGGCTCTCACAGTACTTCTCAGTCTCACGGAGAGCTGAGCGATGCAGAAAGGCACCTCTTCAGATAAGCGTGAGAAACCCTGGTGCCCTGTGCCCGTCCTCTGGCGCTCTAGTGCCATCACCATCTTCAGACAGCATTGCCCACGCGATCACACACCTGCCTTAGGGACCAGAAAGACCTGGTTTCTCGGGCCCATTCTTTACCTTATAAGCTGTGTGGCCAGTTAGCATGCGGTTTTCTGAGCTTCTGCTCGCTTGTTGCTAAGATGGGAAAGGTAGCAAGAATGGCCTCTTAGGAGCGTTAGGGAGCTAATGAGACAGCACCTATAGGCAGCGTGGCATGGTCCAGAGGAACGCCATTCTGCCGAGCCCCTTGCTCAGTTACTCTCTATGTACAGGTATTCTCTCTGACAGTCTGACAACCTAGAGAGAGAGTGTAACAGGACAGAGTGCTGGGGACATTTTTTAAAATCATTTTATTGGAGGCTCATACAACTCATCACAATCCATCCATACATCAATTGTGTGAAGCACATTTGTACATTCATTGCCCTCATCATTCTCAAAACATTTGCTCTCCACTTAAGCCCCTGGCATCAGCTCCTCATTTTTACCCTCCCTCTCTGCTCCCCCCTCCCTCATGAGCCCTTGATAATTTATAAATTGTTATTTTGTCATATCTTACACTGACATCTCCCTTCACCCACCTTTCTGTTGTCCGTCCCCCAGGGAGGAGGTCATATGTAGATCCCTGTAATCGATTCCCCCTTTCTACCCCCTCCTCCCTCCACCCTCCCGGTATCGCCACTCATCACCCTGGATCCCCTGTGTTTGCTGGGAGCATTTTCATAGTGTAAACTTCCTATGGCTTCTGGAGCTGCTTCGATCCAAACACCCAACTGGATCAGAAGTCTCCAAAGCAGTGATGATCAGAACTGAGCTGGTTACGCCAGATCTCAGCCATTCTGATCGGGGCTCACTACTCTAAGCTCTCAGCCCCCAAAGTACCAAACTGGCACCAAACCTGAGGGGCATCTTGGTTTCCACACACATTTCAGACGAGCACTTACTAGAAACCTGCAATGGCCCAAACCTGTGCAAGAGAGAACGGCTACTGTTGCAGTGGGATGACTAAGAGCGCCATTGTACAGAGCTCTTGGAACAGAAAGCCTGTGTCGTGGTCACTACTGCTTTCTCTGAAATGCCCGCCTTGCTGTAATCACCCAGAAAGGTGTTCATCGAATTAAAGGGAGCCTTGCTAGCCTGAATGGGCCCGGCTCTTCTCGTTTCAGTACTTCCCAAAGTGAGTCACCTAGTTGGCAGTGTACCACTCACCGACCCAGTGCCATGCTTGGTGTGTGGGAGGGCATACATGAAAGACCGTAGTGCAAGGGACAGGGGAGCAAAACGAACATACAGTTCTTTTTTTTAATCATTTTATTAGGGGCTCGTACCACTCATCACAATCCATACATACATCAATTGTGTACAGCGCATTTGTACGTTCATTGCCCTCATCATTCTCAAACCATTTCCTCTCCACTTAAGCCCCCGGCATCAGGTCCTCATTTTTCCCCTCCCTCCCTGCTCGCCCCTCCCTCATGAGCCCTTGATAATTTATAAATTATTATTTTGTCATATCTTGCCCTGCCCGATGTCTCCCTTCACCCACTTTTCTGTTGTCCGTCCCCCAGGGAGGAGGTCACATGTAGTTCCCATATAGTTTTTTTGAATGTTTGTCTCATCTCGTGGCCCGGAGCACTGGTGCCACTGTGGGTTAGGTGTTGGGCTGCTAACCACAAGGTTCACCGGTTCTAACCCAGAACCTGTTCTGCAGGCGAAAGTGAGGTTCTCTATTCCCAGAGAGATCGATAGTCACAGAAACCCACAGAGGCAGTTCTCATCAGTCCTGTAGTGTTACCGTGAGTCAAAATCGACCTGAGGGCAGCAAGTTTGGGGTTCTAAGGCTGTGATCTTTGTAGAAGCAAGCTGCCTACCACATCTGTTTCCTTTGGTGGGTGCCAGTGCCGGAGTGCTTCACCGCTGTGCCACCAGGGCTCCTCGACTTTGCTTACAGGGATGAAAAGGCTTACTGCTTCCAGTGTGTTCACGGCAGACGGACGGCTGTGCCGTCATTCTCCAAAAGTACACACGTACTGTGGAAGGTGCTGGTTCTGCCTTTCAAAGGTTGCTGGATTTCTCAGGTAATTAACGCGTCAGAGCATTGTTCTGTGACAAGAACAAAGACTAGCTGTCGAGGCTCTGGATGTGCGTTCTTGGCAGGATAAGAATAGAGTTTGGGGGTGGGGGTGAGGGGAAGGAGTGGGATGTGGAGTAAGATGAAGAAATGTTTTTCTTCCATAGTAGGAAACAAACTGTTAATGTCTCTGGCTAAAAAATAAAAAAGTTGCGCCTTTTAGAAGTGTATTATATAAGAGGGGGAAAAGGAAGTCCATGCCAGATGAGCAATTGAGAATGGAAGGAAGGAGTCCTTAATGGAAGGTGTAAAGAGGGGGGCTGGGGACCTGCTACCCCTTATAGACCGACTAGTATTGTTCATCTAGCAGTCCATGATAGTCAGTAACTTTCTTTATCAGCCCTATAATTCAAATGCATCGATTTTTAAAAATTAGTTTGCCTATTCCTAAGTTTCACTGACATACGATTTGCATCTTATACATTTCAGTAGTTCAATCACATTCATAAGAGTGGTATAACCATCACCGCAATCAATTCTAGGACATTTCTTCTTCATTGTACTTGTTGTTAGCTCTCCACTTCCCCCACGCCTTGCCCACCACGTCCCTTTGGATCTCTTTCTACTCACTGCCATGGGGTCAGTGCTGACTCATGGCGACCCTGTAGCACAGGGTAGAAGGGCCTGTGAGTTTCTGAGACTGCCACTCTGTACCGGAGTGGAAAGCCTCTTGAGGAGCAGCTGGTGGCTCTGAACTGCTGATGTTGACGTTAGCAGCCCCACTAGTAAGTTGTCTCTATAGGTTTACCTCATCTAGGTTTCATGTACAAAAAAATATACAACATCTAGACACAATACAAACGACGATCCCACAATGACAGAATGAAACAAAAACCCCAATCAAAAACCAAGCAGACTATTAAAAACCGGAGCAATTATAACTTGCGTCAAGAGACAGATCAGTAACAAGGAGTCACATTTTAACTTAACCACAACTACAGTGATCCACTCCCCCATGGTCTTTCCCATCCCTGGCCCATAAAGGAGATTCTACAGAGGCATAATCTGCATGGGGGAAACCTGCAAATAGGGTTGGGGCTGAGACTGCCATCCTCAGCCTTCTGCAAACGGGTGTTCAGAATGTAAGCACTATTGCCATTCCATGCTCTGGGGTTGGATTTTATTATCTACAATTCCAGAATCACACAGACTGGTGTGCTGCTTCCATGCGGACTTAGCCAGTGCTTCACTTCGATAGATGGCTGCTTGTTTGAAGACAAGCCTTTAAGACCCGAGATGCTTTTCAGTCAGACACCACCTGCTTTCTTCACCATCCTTAAAATGCATAGGTTTTTTATGTATGTGAAGGAATTGGACATATCAAGGCTTGGGCCAGGTGTATCTTAGTCCTCAAAGTGATAGCGTTGCTCCTTAACACTTTATAAAGAAGTCATGTATAGCAGATTTGTCCAACGCAGCACATGGTTCATTTCCTCGTCTGCTGCTTCCGGAAGTGTTCATGGTGGATCCAGGCAAACAATGGCATTAGTAATATCTGATCCTTTTAACTGTGTGTGTACACATACTCATCTTCATTTCTTAGAAATCACATTGAAAACGCATACACATCAACACCAATTAGACACTGCCCTGAATAAACCTATCAAACACTCCCAACGGGTGGGTACTCCACACAACTGACAGTTTCTCTCAAACCCCTTCAGCATCCCCGTGTCCACAGCGTCCGAGTAAGTGGTTAGACATGGACATCGGAGCCTAACACTCCTATGCTTAAAACTTGGACTAGCTTAGAAGGCCTTACCCACCTTTCCAGCCTCATGCAGCCCAGCCACATAGGCCTTCTTCCTAGCCTTTGTGGCTGAATTAGCCCGGACTGGGCCTTCAGGTGGCAGTGCTGCAGCCCCATCCTCGTTTGAGCCTCCCCCGCCTCCCTTCTGCGTGCACAATGCACTCACCGCTCCTGCGCCCTCCTGCCCGCATGCTTGTGTAGGTGTTTGAGAAGGGCTCCTCTCTCCCAGGAGCACTGCCACGCTCCAGAGCGTGGCCGTCTCTGACTGTGCTCCCCCAGGGGCCTTGGCTGCTAGCCCAGTGCCTGGACCACGGTGGTCTGTGGTGGTCGCTGACACGGAACCGGCCACTGACTTGGGGCAACTCCATGAGTTGCAGAGTAGAAACTCTCTGTGGGGTTTTGGAGGCTAAAAGCCGAGTCAGAAGGATAGGATAATAGATCAACTGACCTTGGATTACCTCTGAGAACAAGACCGGACTTGTGTGCCCTCCACACACGTACTTAAGAGTTATAGAGCATCGTCTTCAGGATAATAAGGAAGCCAATGGTGGGTGCCTAAGTTTATCCAAAGTAAAAAATATTTCCACCCCTAAATAAAGCAGCGGACTGAGAATCACCGCTGCTCAGATGTCAGCAAGCTAATTATACCCTGTGCAGACATAGCAGGTACAAAGATGATTCGCCCACGAAGAGGAGGAAGGCGAGGGATCCAGTTTCCCAGCTATGTAAATCCACCGAGAACCACCCGGAGCTGCCCAGGCCGCCTCAGGTAGGGCAAAGCAACAGAGTTCAATGCCACCCAACCAAGCCAATCTTATTTTGTCTAGAGTATTCTCCGGGTTGTTGTGGTTTCCTGAGATCAGAGGCTTGTTGGGATAAGGCCTTGACCATGTGGCCTTCAAACATCCTGGCCTGGAGTTGGCCTTGAAGATGTGCCTGTGTCTGGGTCAGCAGCCCAAATGCTGATCCCCACTGGCTCCCCTGGGAGCTCAGCTCAGCAACAGCCCAGAGCAGACACTGGGACTCCACCCCGCCCCTCCACTAGCAGCCTGTATAACACCTTCGCACAGCCGGGCCGTGCTCGCCAAGCCTCCCAGGAGGACGCTCTCCCCTAGCCTCCGGCGATTTGCAGAGACGTTTCTCACACCGCACAAACATGCTTTTCATATGAAAGACTAAGAGGTTTGTAAAAAACTCTGGAAAAATGGAGTTAAGAGATCAAATAAATTTTTCTATGAATGTTTTAAAAAGTCCCTCATCTGCCCTACAATGACTTTCTGAGAACTGAGAGTGGTCCAGATTCTTGGCTGCTTCCTTTCTGCCATGCCCCAGTTTATGAAGAAAACGCCTCTGGTGCCCCAAGGAAAGGGAAGAGGCAGCACTGGCCGCAGGCTTGAAAACCGAGTGGCTGGGTAGCCACATTCCTTCCTCAGTCTGGTAGCTTCCAAGGTGTGGCTCAGAGAGCAGCTAATCAGATGCCCCAGTGACCCATCTGTAAAGAAGCTTCCGGGAGCTCAGACCCATATCCCTTGTGCTTCTGTCCTGAGCTCACTCACGGGATCTTGCAAGCGCCCAAGCCAACTTTAGGACGTCTTCATCACCCCAAAATAACTTTGTACCCCTTCGCAGTTCACTCTCCTGGTCTCCGACCAGCCTCCCACCTGTTGTCGCTGTCATTTGAGTTGGCTCTAACTCCTGTGCCCTGGTGTGTGTCTGAATGAACGGCCGTGCAACCATAAAAAAAACTCATTGCCGGTCAAAGCTCGGTCCGGTGCCCTGTTCCAGTCCTCTTGTGACCCCGGTCGCTCGTCAAAATGGGGAAACAGATGGGTAGCAAGGAAGATTCTCAGGCCGCCCCAAACAGTGCCAGCGAGAAGCTAGTGGTGGTTGAGTTCTCAGCCCCGTGGTGTGGGCCCTGCGAGATGACCAAGCCTTTCTGTCATTCCCTCGGTGAAAACAATGGCAACGTGGTCTTCCCTGAAGTTGCTGTGGAAGACCACCAGGATGTTGCTTCAGCGTGTGGCGTCCAACGCATGCCAACATTTCAGTTTTATAAAAAGGGACAAAAGGTGGGTGAATGTTCTGGTGCTAATAAGGAAAAACTTGAAGCTACCATTAACGAGTGAAGTTAATTATGCTTCGTGAAAATGGATCCAGTCATCAGCTGGATGTGTCAACCTTTTTGTATTTACAACAAAGACTCAAGTATGAAGACTATATACCCCCGACTCCCATCTGATGATAAATGACAATAAAATATTCATCCTACCCTTTATAAAAATAAAAACAACTCATTGCAGCGACTCTACTGTCTGTCCCCAGGGTCTCAAGAGTTCACGTCTGTGGGACTGGACGGGATGCGGTCTTTGGGTTGTGCGTGTTCACGGTCTCCCCGTGGTGGTGCGTGTTCACGGTCTCCCCGTGGTGGTGCGGAGGAGCACTTCACTGCTTTCACAGTTGGCTTCGCTCCCTTTGCGTTTAGCACAGTGTGTCCAGCTACTCCGCAGCTGATCTGAGGATGGGTTCTTGGCAATGGTTCTTACAGAATACCTAGAGCCGGGAGGCATTGCTGGAAATCCTACAAACATGAATAATGTATAAGAGGATATTCTACCCGCTGTCTTTTTTTTTTTTCATCAAGAAAAGGTTTCCATAGCAAAAGAAGCCAACTTTGATGGTTACCAGAGTGCGAGAGTGGAGGGGAAAAGACGGGAGAAACTCCTACTTGAGGGAGGTGGGGGCAGTGCAGAAAGGACAAGCCCTTGGGTGATTTGATCAATTGCTGACGTTGTTGATGCAGAAATGATCTGATATGCAGACACCCAGTCATCCACAATAAAAAAGAGAACCAAAGGAAAAAGAGAACATGCTTGATGCGAATGAACTTTTACATATCAATGAAACGAACAACTTCCTACAAAAACGCATTTTGCCAGAAGTGACCCAAGAAGAAATATCAGACAATTCCCATTTGCTGTCTATTACTGAAATCAAACTCATGGGAAGGGGGTGGGGGGCGAGACAAGGTGCCTTCTGCCTGTGTTGTGGCCTGTAGTCCTGGGTGGGGAGTAAGCCCTTGAAATGTGGAGTGTTCAAATCCAGTGGTGCTCTGAACACCTGCTGGCTTGCCCGTGGTGGAAAAATATCTGGCAGTATAATACTGCAGTGGTCAGTTTTCCCTCGATGATCTGCTGGAATGGCCATCTTGTGGACATAGTAGGCTAAATCAAATATTAGAATTCACTTCACCTGTCTCTGCTCTTGGTAATGTGGCTATTAGAACGTTACAAATTGCATATGACTGACATTGACTTTCAGCTGGAAAGCCCTGATTTGGAAAGCCTGCTCTCACAGCCTGCTTTCACAGGACAACGACCCTGTAAGAATATAATTCAGCGCATGCCACTGCTCCGCCTCTCTAGTAACCGCTCCCTCCAGAGCAAAGACCAAGGCCCACAGGTCCTGTGATCACACCTACCCGCAACCTCCCACCAAAGCCTTCCTGGTCGAGCAGCAGACCCTGACTTTATGAGACCCTAAGTTTATACCATGGGTAGGACTGAGGTGAGGGTGGAGCTTGCCCAGAAAAGAACACAAATCAGAAATATGAAGTTACATACAAAATTAGGTATTTGTTTAGAACATAGGTTCCCAAACTGATTTGGCCTACCATCCCCTTTTAAGAAAAAAAAAAAAATTCAGTGCTCCCCTGGAATTAAAAATGTGTATGCTGTGACCCATGATCCAAGATCAAGCGTCGGTGTCTGCCTTTGCAGCCCCCCCGGATTGTGCATCGTTCAATGGCATCGTCCACTTTGGGCGACACAGCAATGTGCCAGAGCCCTGCAAGGCCTGATCCTTTTCTTCTGCAGCCGCGTTAGGCAATGTGCTAAGTGTGCTCAGGTACAGATGCCTTCAGACTGCAGCCTGGTGCTCCCACCGCGCCCAGAACTGTCCACTGCATTGGTGGCTCAGGTATGGGGGCTGGCAGGGAAGCTCCACCAGCTCCAGCCTCACTCCCCATCATCTCCGCGCCCCACGCCTGCATGCTCCTTACAGCTTCGCCACTTGCTGTTTCTTCGTCCCAGTTCCTACTCATTTAGATTCTCGGTTCAAATGGTGCCTCCGCAGGATGGCATGGCCTGGCCTCCACACAAGATACACCCCTTCTCCTGCCCTCCCTGTCTTCTTTCAAACCCAACCCAACTCACCCACTGCCAGTGAGTCAGTTCCAACTCACCCACAAGGTGTCCCAGCCTGTCGTCTCTATAGACGATTGCCACAGCGTTCTCCAGAATGGCTGGAGGCTTGAACCTCCCACCATTCAGCTCACAGCCCAGCACTTTAACTACTGCACCACCAGGGCTCCTCCCTCGCTCTCTTCACCCCGACTCCATCATCTCTGTAGGACGCTCAGCAAACAGATGTGCGTCGACACATTTAATGGTTGTTTTTCTCCTTTAGCATGAACTTCAGGAGTTCAGGGACTTTGTTTTGCTTCTGCTAGGTATATATATGCAGCACCTAGAAGATGCCAGGCCTTGACAGCCACTCAGAGAAACCTGGTGACTGAATGACTAGACTGAATCACACACACACACACACACACACAGCAGTCCATACCCTGGATCGTTCATTATTATGAAGGACTGTACAGTGTGTAGGTGCTGTGGGTTAGGTACTGGGCTGCTAACCACAAGGTCAGCGGTTCAAACCCACGTTCCATGGGAAAAAGAGAAGGCTGTCTGTCCCTGTAAAGACTTCACAGTCTCAGAAACCCCCAGACGCAGCTGCACTCTGTACTCTGGAGTCACTCCGAGCCTGCACTGACTGGACTGTGGTGGGTTAAGCATTGGACTGAAAGGTGGGAGGTTCACCAATTGCAAGAAAGATGTGGCTCTGCTTCTGTAAAGCTTGACAGTCTCTCGGAGCAGTTCCGCACCGTCTCACAGGGTCGCGGAGTCAGATTCCTCTGCATGGCTTTGGGTGTAGGTGTGTGGTAGCTATTGATGCAGCTCGCTGGCCAGGCTTCCCCAACACTCTCTGCCCCAGTCCCCAGAGATGGGCACACACCTCAGGCCTGCAATTGGAGTGCCAGAGTGATTGGTCAGAGGTGAGCATGTGACCTAGGTTTGGCCAATGGGAGGCTTCCTCCAGATTGTTCTCCAAGGACTGGTTAGGGGAGAGGACGCAGTCCCTTGACGTGGGTCAGATCATACTGTAGCAGCCTGTGGATTTGTGCTCTGGGCACAGGTTTTCCTTGGCAGAGAGGGTCGGGTGGGAAGAAGGAGTTGCAGCAGCACAGAGCTAGGGGCCCGTCTCCCGAGCTCCTCTGCTTCTTGCAGCTCGTCCTTGTCCCCGACAACCCCTCACCCTCAGTCCATCCTTTCATCACTACCTACCAAAGCAAATGCTAGTTGGGTTCATGACATCATAGTGAACCTCCTGTCTGTGAAGATAGGAAGGCGTGCTGGTGGCAAGGTGGTTCTGCGTTGGGTTGCTAACTAACTACAAGGTCAGCCGTTCGAAACCACCAGCCTCTCTGAGGGAGAAAGTCTCAGACTCAATGGTGGGTGTGGGGAGACATCAGCTTGCAGGACAGCACGAGCCTGTGGAATGGCATGGGACTTGCCAGCAGCATTCGAGTGCGCCCTGTCTCATGACATTGGCCAGCTTCTCTAAGTTACTATGAGGGTTTTGTGTTCAAGGCAACTTCCGTATCCAAAGTAGCATTGCCCACAGTCAAATCAGTGAAGCTTCAGCAGATGCGAGGAACAGCGTACGCACGCTTACCGGCAGCAGGTGAACGTCTGCGAGAGAATGAAGGCGGCATGGTAAGTAAGGGAGGGAGCCCCACTGGCATACGCACCAGGGAGAAAGGGGGCTTTCTTTCCCCTTAGAGGGACGATCCCAGAAACCCGGTCCTGGAGGGTCGCGGTGGGTTGAAGTGGGCTCGAGGGCAGTGGGCTTGGCTCTTGTGTAAGTCTGAAAGGGAGTCGTGAGACATTCTGTTCTCCGTGGCGTCTTACCGAGGAGCAGTCGAACCCGGTCGTTAGGAACACGGACTTTGGAGTCACTTGTGTGTCCTGTGGTGAAGTCATTACATCTGTCAGGCTCGCTGACCTTCTCTGAACACAGGAGAACATCCGTGATCTATCTGACAGCACCGTGCCGGGGACTAAGCGAGTGGATGTGAGTCCAACGTTGAGAACAGTGCGTGGCACGAAGCAACCCTCGGGAACCAGGAGCCCACCAGCTGTCACGCCCGTTTCTAGGGATTCCGAGCGGCGCCTCCCTCAAGCGCAGGAGCCCTTGCATGCCGGGTTGCTCTGTGAACGAGTAGGGGCCTTTTGATGTTTCTACTTGCTCGGCTCGGCGGCATTAATTCATTAGCAGATGCAGGCATTGTCTTACGTGCTGCTTTCTCCATGTGCTCTAAATTTAGTACTAGATAAAGACAGTTGTGGGGGTGGAGACAGTTTCTAGATCCCTAGTCCAAGCCCATTATGTTTTGTTTCATTCGAAAGCTGTAATCCGGAGAGAGGAGGAGGGAGAGTTGGGGAGAGGAGAGAGTGAGAGAGAGAAAGAGAGAGAGAGAGAGAGAGAGAACGAGTTTGGGAGCATCTACTATAGACCTCCTTTAGGTGTGTTTTGGGGAAATTTCTATTTTTGCATTGTTATGTGCATTCATATTTTGTATTTTCCACCATTTACATACAGTAGGGTATTGGATCTACACTATGGTGTGGGCCTCCATAACGTCTTATGCAGTAGAACA